CTTAAGCAAAAATAATTAGAGTTAGTAAACCAATATCTAGTAACTTTTCTTTATATCTAATTATTTGCTACATATATTTGTGTTCTGTCGTGACCTTAGGCGCGATACTTGTTCATCTGCGAGTTACTTTGTACGCGTTGTTTGTGTTTAGTAACTAGAAACTTCTTATATGTTTGTTACATAATTAGTTTTATTAACTATAACGATTATAACTTCATTGAAAACGCAATTATTTTTGTAAGTCTTTGTTTAAATCGTAAAAATTGCTTTAAAAGATACATTACGATAAAAAACAGATAAACAAAATTAAATTTACATAAAGAATAAATACTTTTTAAATGAAAAATAAGAATATACTAATAAAATCTATAATTTATAATAAACTTTTAACATTTTGACAATTTAATATATATTTAAAACTTTTATTTTTTGTAAACAAATAATATATTTATTCTTAAAACAATTTATGATAGAAATCTCAAAACGTTCTAAAACATTTTTTAATAACATTCAACAGAATTTTCTAGAACTTTATTTCGCTAAGTCAGCGTATTTTTTGAACCAATAGAATTAGTTTCTTCGTTAATTTGGCGGGTTTTTAGTGTTCGCGAATATTCTTTTTATTCTTTCGCACAAAGATGTTTTGGGAACATTCAAGTTTATTATGTTTCCATGTATGTCCACAAAACAAAAAATTTTTGTTTCGTACATAAACTTAAATATTCTCAAAACGACTAAAAAACCTGGCCAGTTTTTCGCAACTAAATATAATTTCCGTGGTCAGTATTCGAGAGCGATCGCTCCCGCTTCCCGACCAAGCCTGATATATATATATATATATATATATATATATATATATATATATATATATATATATATATATATATATATATATATATATATATATATATATATATATATATATACATATATATATATATATATATATATATATATATATATATATATATATATATATATATATATATATATATATATATATATATATATATATATATATATTATTATATATGATATAATAAATTGAATTAAATAAAGTTGAAAGTTGTGATTTGTTTTCCAAACTAAATCATTTTTGCTCCTTTATTTGCGTCATGTCTCAAACCTTAACTTACTCAGTTTTTCATTTCTTTAGGTTGTTCAAAACATAACCTCACTACTTGTTCCTCTAATTTCTTAGATTCAAACAGAGATGAAAGATTAAATTCCTTCTCAATGGTTTCAAATCTATCTTCACTTTCTGATCTAGCCTCAGTTTACCCTTTTTGGCTTTTTGTGCATCTACTATTATCAATTAAAATTATTTTTTTTATCTTTCTTCAAGAAAAAAATATATACACACATTTATGTATTTATATTAGGGCGCAGCAAATCTACAAACGTGTGAATGCTTATTAAAAAAAGACAGAAAAATGAATGTTTCGTTTTTTTACTTTTACTTAAGCAAACATTGGCGTTCGCTTAAAATTTTTTTAAACAAATGCATAACTTCAGCAATTTTTTTTCCAATTAGTTGATAGTTTTTTATTTATAATAAAAAAACAATCAGTTACTAAAATTTAAAATGCATTTTCAACAACTTTAAAAGAAACCAAGCTAAAACAGGATTACTTTTATTAATAGCGTTACTTTTAAGTTATATAACACGTATGCTATTAAAGAAAGTAATTTTGTTTTAGTTTTTATATGCGTTTACAAAAGTCTACAAAATTTTATTCAAAATGAATGCATTTGCTATTACTTTAAAAGAAACAATGCTTTATTCAAAAGCATGCCTTTTTTAAATTTTTTTATCGTTTAAGTGAAGTAATGTTTGTGTGCATATTAAAAACACTTTTAAAAATTTTGAAAAGAATTTTTAAGTTTTACTAGAATATATATAATCTAATAGAATACAGTAAAGTTGCCTCTCTCTCTCTCTCTCCCATTTAAAATTAAAACGCTTTTTATTTTTAATGCGTTTTTAAATAAAACTTCGTTTTATTTAAGAATGTATTTAAAATAAAACAAAGTAAATAAATAGAATTGTTTTATTTGGTAAATTAAAATCTTATCATCTTAAAACTTTAAAATTCATATTTGTGCAAAAATATGCCTATAGACCATAAGAGTCTATAATATGTAGACCAAACAAGTAAGATCAAAGCAAAAAAATATTAGAAATTTTTTATAATTTATAACTTTATGTTGAATAAAAATCTCTGCGCAAGAGAGGAAAGATCAAACTTTCAATTCAAAATATAAATTTAGCATGACGTACTTTATGACCCCTAATAAAAAACTTAGACAAAAACTTTACATTTAAGAATTGCAAAAAAAATTCTAAATTAAAAAAGAAAAAAAAATATAACCAAGAAAAAAAAAAAAAAAATCAAAAAAAAATAATTTAAAACTCATTTTGAAGTGTGAAAAGCAATTGCAATTGGCGATCGTGATAAGCCTAATTTGAGCCCTGATACAACGAAAAACGAGGTCGGTGAGGAAAGTACTTATTCTGATAGGACATTTAGAAGATGTTTCCAAAAGTTTCAAACCGGTGATTTCGATCTTTCTGATCACTCGCGTTCTGGGCATTCATCTTTGATTGACGATGATGTTATTAAGAACATATTGAAGCAAGATCCTTTTCTGACAACATCTGAGGTTGCAGAAACATTTAAATAAGCTCAGCAAAATACTTCAGACATTTTCGAAAGATAGGATTAGTATGGAATTATATTAAGTTAGAAGAATTTGGATGATCAAGTTGTCATATGCGCATCTCTTCTTGCTTGGAACAGAAGCTTGGAACAGAACCGAACCATTTCTGTACAGGATGAGAAATAGATTAATTACGAAAACATTGTAAAAAAAAGGGCATATTGTGAGACTAGCCCTTCCACATCTAAACCAAATTTGACTCTGAATAAGAGAATGTTGTGTATTTAGTGGGACATTCAAGAACCAATACATTATGAGCTTTTAAAACCGAACAAAAAGTTTAGTTCCGAGAAGTATTGTCAGCAATTGGATAAGTTAAAGGCAAAAATCCAAGAAAAAAGAGGACGGACATCATACTGCATACATCAATAGGAAGGGCATCATACTGCATCATGATAATGCCACACTGCATGCTGCTTTAAGGTCTTGACAAAAAATTGCAGAGTTAGGCTGGGAAATATTGTCACATCCACCATATACCCCTGACTTAGCGCCCTCCAACTATCACTTGTTTTTGTCCTTACAAAACTTCTTAAACGGCAAAAAATTTGAAAACGAAGAAGATTTTTTGAATCAAAGAATAAAACATTTTTCAAAAATGGAATATTCAAATTACCATATCACTGTCAAAATGTCATTAAAAATAATGGCAATTTTATCATTTAATAAAGTTTATAGGTGAATACAAAAGTTTGTATTTTATTTTGTTCCAAAAACTGACAGAACTTTCCGGTAGGCCTAATATATATTGTCCCCTCAGTATTAACTTGTTCTAACTACAAATTTTCATTTTTTTAAAAATCTATTTTTATTAAGTAAAAGTGCATAATTCACTTTCTTCACTTATCTTTATATAATTATCTTCTCTGCTTTGTAGAGATTTTCTCAATTTGACTTTGTCTTAATTACAATATTGCTTACTTTATCAGTTTCATCTTGTTCTATGTCACTTAAACAAAACACTTCAGTATTTAAATGTTCTATTCATTTTGGCGAATCAATGTTCTAGCTTAAGTCACATAACTCTTTATTTTAAAATTATCAGGAAAAGTTTACTATATTATGTCTACAAAACTTATATTCATTTTTTTTTAAGTTAAAATTGTATATTAATCTATACTGTAAAACTGCTAAAACTGATTCATGATGCTAATCTTAGTTATCATTCCGATTCAAGTAAAAGTATTGTTCCTTTTCTGCCTTCTATCTCATTTGTTCCTTCTCTGTCTTTTCTTCTCAAATCAAAGTATTGTTCCTTCTCTGCCTTCTTCGTTAATTGTTCTTTCTTTGCCTTCTCTTTTCAAGTAAAAGTATTGTGCCTTCTTTTCCATTAAAAAGGATTAGGTAGGATTAATAAAAAATTTTTCAGTTTTGTGTAAAACATATTTAAGTTAGATTAAATTCTTTGTATTACCTATTTCTGCACTGTAAAATAAAAAAACCTACTTATTGGCATACTTTTGAAAATCCCATGGTCAATATACACATAAATTAATTGCTCAATATTTTTTGATACAGTGTTGGTTCAAGTTTCAAAAATAGGTACAACATACGAGTTATGAAACAGGTATTCCATCAGACCAAGTCTTGATATCAAAAGGGTGCAAAAGAATCAGGAACCCAGATACCTGGAAATGCAATGTTAATAAAAAGAGCATCAAGCTGGCCAGGAGTATGAAAGTTGAAATAAAGTGATATAAAGAAGAAAAAGAGAAATTTGTAATGTAAAGGACTGCATAAACTGTAAATTTAAATGCCACTTTCAGAAGAAAAGAAAGAAGATCTTAAAAAAATGATGCCCTACATGCCTAAAATTAAAAAAATTGCCAACTCTTTGTGTTTATACTTATGCGATGTGCCTTTTTCTTATACATACTGATTTCTTAGTATAAATGTTTTATCTCAATAGTGAAAAATCATTATTTTAAACACAAAATTCACAAATTATATATCGATTTTAACTACTTTTTTGAGACAAACTTTGGTAAAAAGTTGATTTTGAATATTTTTTGGTCTTTTGAAAAAACAGCTGACAAGTTTCACTAGATTAAATAAAAAAAGCTTTACATTTGCTTAACTACAATATTCTTAAAAATGTGAAGCACTATAACTCAGTTTGCATTTGAATATATAATCATTGTCTAAATATTTATTGAATATATAATTATTGATTATATATTTATTGAATACATAATTATCAAAAATATACAATTCTTGGAAATAGAAATTATATTATAGCATATAATATAATTGTTCTATGAGATTACTCTTAAATTTAGTATGATGGTGATAACACTCCCCAGACAGTTAAAGATAGAATTATTGAGTTATTATTTTCTTGGTATGTTGGATTGCCTCATGAAAAAAAAATAGGCGAAGCTTACAGAATGCTTAAGCAACAAGGAATCATAAAACGTGATCCAATTGATTCATCAAAACCAGTAAGTTATGTGTTTAAAAGTATTTTTTATAAAATCTCACTGCTGTATATTTACATCTATATATTTAGTTACTGTATATGAATACAATATAAAACATCTGTAGTTCATCTACAGATGTTTCATAAAATTAAGAATTTTATTTAACTAATGTTAAAATTGAGTAGGTTGTATTAAAATATTACAAAATCGTCGATTTATATTTAAAATTTTATTTTTTCATAAACCTTTCCAAATATAAAATGTAATTTTAAAAGAAATTAAAACAAAATTTCACCATAATGCTTGTAATGCAAATCTATAATGCTTGTAAAATAATTAGCTGAGATTATATAATTGTACTAATGTTATGAATGGTTGATTATAACTGTACTAATGTTATGAATGGTTGGTTATAATTGTAATAATGTTATGAATGATTAAAGTAATCAATAAAGTTGATTAAAAAACAAATTTTAGTTTATATGAACAAAATAATTTTTAAGGCATTAAAATTTTTATGTTTATTATGTAAGAAGTTCATAAACTTATTTTCTTATTATTTATTTTTAAAATGTGAACCTTAAAGGGATCCTTAACTCCCCAGACAAGTTGTGTTCATATTAAAGAAAGGCTAAATTTTATTGATTAAAACTATATAATGAATGCACACTAGGTATATGACAAAAAAACTTTTTTCAAAATTTTAATTTTCCTGATGTTGCATTTGATGAACTTTTACCAATAGATCACTGTTTTGAGGTTTATTTCATTGGGTCACAAAAAAACCTCCCGCACCTAGCACCTCACCACTTTTAACTTTTTCGATTTTTCACTTGATTTTGTTCCCAGTTCTTACTTCCTTATGCTTGACTATGCTTGAATATAACTACAAGTTGGAGAGCGTCAAACAGTTTAAAAAGTTAATTAACATAGAATGAAATAGTTCGATAGTTTTAAATTGTTTTTATGTTATGTAACTCAATTTTGAATAACAAATTTTAACGACTGTTTTTCAAATTAATGCACGTTTGTTGTTGTTTGTTGTTGAGTATTTTTTAATGTTCGTGCGATTAAAATATTGAGTAGTATTTAAAAAGTTTTGTCATTATTTACAGTATTAATTTGCAAGATCTGCTGTTTAGTGCTTCTTTTTGAAAATATGTCCTTTAAAAGTAAAAAGTCAAAATCAGCAGTGGAAGCAGCTGGTGAAATATGGACACAAAATTTGAAATCAAGCACGAAGCGCCGTCCTAATATACCACAGGTAAAACAGGATATGAGCGACAAATTGTGTAAAATGCCTTCCAACAGAGATATCGTTGGAAGATTCTTGGAACTCTTTAATGAATTGAAAGGACGACATGATCGACTAACAAAAATATTTGAGGAATTGATGAATCTTTGGCAGAAGTTTAATTTTCCTGTTCTTTCCAAACAACAAGTGTCTGCTAATGTTTACAAACTTATCACATCATTTGAGAAACACAGAAAGCGACCAAATGCAGTATTTGAAGAAAATCTTGCTCATCTGTTCGATATAACAAAACCAGATGGAAATTGGCTTTGTAGTGAGGACAAACAACTGTACTAAGTACAAATTGAATCAGATGGCAGGGTGGGATATACAACTATGAAAGTGGCTCCATTGTCAACAATCCATCCATCAAAAAGGGCCTAAAGCACATCAGAACCCTCGACAAACCAAGCGGTTATCTCCGTACCAATTTCCTGCGATAGTGAGGATTCTGAGGAAGGAAGCAGCAGTGGTGACTTGGAGGCAGTTCCAGGAGAATCTTGCAGAAAGCGTGCAACACGCCAATCAACTAAGTATGCTGGCAAACTAGTGTCTAGTCACCCTTTGTCAACCAGAAAAACGTCCCGGGTGCTTCAAAGTCTGGCTGAGGATGGAGTTTGTGTCCCAACACCATCACAGTCTGGAGTCTGGCGTCGAACAATCAGAGATGCAGAACAAGTTAAGAACCGCCTCATGGAACTGATCTCTGAAGAGAAATTTTCTTTGCATTTTGATGGTAAGAAAATTAACAAGACTGAGTACCAAGTTGTGTGCTTGAAAAATGACAAAAGAACATTACAACTTGGCATTTTGGTTTGTGACAGTGCATCATCTGCAAGCATATATAAACCACTACAGGACCTACTTCATGATTACAGCTGACACAACAGCTGTAAATACTGGTCGCAAGAATGGAGTTGTAGCCAAGCTTCAGAAAACATTTTGAGACAAGGGATTCGATGAACCTCAATACATCGGCTGCCAACACCACATTCTTGATCTTGTTCTACGACATGTGTTGGATTTCTTTTTTCCTATACAGTCACAGTCGCCTAACATTAACTACAAATTTATTGATGAGATTATGGAGCATTACGATGAATTAAAAAATGCCTATAAGGGCACAGCAGTGGTAGCAGAGTATGAGAACCTTGGCTGGAGAGATGACTTTAAATTTCTTTTTCAGCTTTGTGAAGCATACAAGTTTTACAAAAATGAGGAAAAATGGCCTCGTATCAAATGGCACAAGCTGCCATCACTGCACAGTGCCAGGTGGAACTCATGAGGCATTTTTGCGCTTATTGCATTTTTCATTCTTCCAAACTGGCGAGAACAGCTGAGGATAACTTGCGATTTCGTTGCAACTACATGGTCGCGGGCCTGGGTTTCAAACCAGCACTATGCAGAGGCGGCTTATGAAGACCTGCTGTCAGCAATATCCCAACTTTAGTGTTCCAAAGCTGTGAAATGCTTCTCTACCCACTGGAAGAAGGAACCATCAGTGCTTGATGTGCCTCGAACCAACATAGTAGCCGAGAGAGCTGTAAAAATGATGGAGGACATTCGTTCTTCTTGCAGAACAAACAAATATCTTAACTGTAAATTTATTAATACTAATACACAAATCTGAAAGATTATTAACATCACTACAAATGCTGTAGGACAGTGTATTTCTCATTTATTTCTCATGTGTATTGTATATAAAGTTGACATATTATAATTAATAGCCTTTGAGCTGCTATGTGTTGTATGGTTAAATATGAAACTGTCTTAGGTGCGGGAAGTTTTTTTAAGGTATGGTGAAATCAATGTCGTTTCTGTGATTTATAGGCAAAAGTTCGTAGTCGAAGCTTGCCGTCTCCATTTTTTTTTTGGTTCTCGGAGTCTGTATGATGTTAGCCGCAATCTACAGACTTGATAATTTATTCCATGCGCGTTTAATTCATAACAGTTTCAGTATATATGATGTCATCATAAAAATTTTTTTTTAAGATGTATTACTTTTTTGCCACAATCTCCAAATCATGTTAATTGTATAACTTTTACTAAATCCCCAAAAAAAATTTATGATACAATTAAAAATTAAATTTATAAAGTTTACAAAAATAAAGATTTAATATATAACGAATATTTACAGTAAAACATAATAAACTAAATATCAACTAGATATTAAAAGGTTTAAACTAAATATAAACTAGATACTTAAAGAATAATTTTAATAAAGCGTATAAATTATTTAAAATATAAGTGAATAAAAAACGAGTGACTTAAATAAAACATATAAACTGAAATAAGTAGAAAATAAATATTAAACGAATTATTTAACTAAAAACCGTTCAAATCAAACTAAATTAAAGTTAAAACAAATATTTTTACTCTAATATACAAAAAATAGTTATAATATAAATATAAAAATGAAGAATCACATTAACTTGTTCGCTACTAGCTGAACAAAAATCTTTTTGTAGCGACCACACATTTTTTTGAATAACATTTGAATAGCATAACATTGACAGTTAATTAAAATTCGATAATAAAACAGTTTTTAACACGCATCATTAAAAAATAAGAAATGCAAAGTGCTTAAAACCATTGTAAAGCATACTCGAAAGCCGCTACGAGAGGCTTGCAGTAGTGAAAGAGTTAAACCATAACTTAATGTAAACCATAACTTAAACAAAACAAACATTTCTATTAAACCATATGAACTAAATATAAAACAAGAAACCGCATCATACTGCCTTTATTTTTTTTTTGCCTGCAAACTCTAATAATCACACAATATGTATAATTGTGTCATGATTTTGGCTGGCTTCCAAAAAGTAATAAAGCAAGTAAAAAAAAAAATTATAAGTATAAATATATATATATATATATATATATATATATATATATATATATATATATATATATATATATATATATATATATATATATATATATATTTGTAAATATTTTTTGTGGTTTAGTAAAAAATTATACAAATATTTGATTTTCTGATTGTAGTAGAAAAAATACTTAAATCTTTAAAAAAACAACAACAAAAAAAACGCTAATCTTAAAAAGATATTGTGATGACATCATATACCGAAACTGTTATGAATTAACATGCATGGAATTAATTATCAAGTCTGCAGATTGCAGCTAACATGCAGACCCCAAGAACTAAAAAAAAAATGGAGAAGGTGAGCTTCAACAAAAACAATCATTTTAATTTTGTTGGTATGCATTCATTATTTAGTTTCAAACAAAAAAATTTAGCCCAGATGTTTTTTTTAAACATTTTCTTTAATATTTAGTTTAAACACAATTTGTCTTGGCAGTTAGGGATCCCTTTAAATCATTATATATGCAATGAAGTTTACGAAAATTGAAAGAAAAAAAAAATCACACAACCATATGCGACATTCCACAGCATAGCTAGGCATCTTGATAAAAAAAAATTAGTAATTCATATATTTAAAACTGGTTTTTTCTAAGCTTTCTAAAATTATTATTCTGGCCAGTATTTATAAAAATTTTAGAAAATTTATGCCAATCAATATTTAGAAATTTTAAGTTAAATTTCTTTGTTTTTTTTTTTTTTTTTTTTTTTTTTTTTTTTTTTTTTTTTTTTTTTCTTTCTCCAAATGTATTGTTTTAAAATCATTTAAACAAATTATTTGTTTTGCATAATTTTACCCCTGCACATTCTTTTCAATGTGCATCTAACAATTTTTTGAAACCTAAAATAATCAAAATAATTTTTGTGTGAAAATGTTTAATATTATCTTTATTCTATAAGCAAGGATTTAAAACAACTACAGGTTTTCACAGGAAGGAATGGGTTCGCATGCCATTATTAAAAAAAAAAACTTTTCTAAAAATAAGAAAAGATATATAATTAGGGTAAAAGATTTATGTTTTGTTGTATACCGCTCTTTAAAATTTTGTTTACTTATAACTTTTTACTCATATACTCTCTTCATATGAAATATGCAGCAAAATGTGCTGTAAAGAAAGTATTATATGCGTTCTTATCCCATTTTCATTGTTTTTACTTAAAAACAAAATTACTTAACCAATATATTTTTTGCGATATGAAATCTGTTTTTTGCAAAAGAAAAAATTTTTTTTTTGCGGTATTTGAAAAAATGGTGTTACAAATTTTTTTTTTAAAAAGAATGCAATAATTTTATAATTAAACATTAAAATTAAATGTATTTGCGCTTGTAAGAATAAAAAAAATTAGAATTTCACTTAAAACAACTAAAAGCATACATTTTAAATAATTTAGCTGGTCATTCACGCTTCTATTTAGCAACAGTTTCAGATGATTTAGTTTTTTTTTTTATTTTTATGCTTTTTTCTTTATTTTTATTATTTATTTTTTTTTTGCAGTATTTTTCATTCTTCACAAATCTTTTTCCTTTCTTCTTTTTTCTTTTATTTTTTATAATAACGTTTATTATAAAAATTGCATACTTTGATGTCATTTAATTTTTTAAGATATAATTTAGAATCTTTTTCATTCAGTGCATTTTTGAAACTTTTTATGGTTAAATTGTCAAAGCAAAATGTTATTTACCTAGCCTGAACTAGATTTCATTACCTAGCCTGAACTCACCTCATATAATGGCATGTGATAGTTCAGGCTTTCCTGTGAATGCCTGGACTATGTATGATTTTTTATATATAAAATAATTTTTTTACATGTTTAAATTTTTTTAATTTGTATAGCAAACTGAAAAATAGTTATTAATATTTGTGCCCTAAAAAAACAATTGAAGAACTTGTTTAACTCAATGATTTATAACTTTTTCATAAATTAAGTTTTAGCTAGGATCGAAAAGGAAAAAAGTTTTGTTGTTTCTTGTATTATCATGATAACTAAAATATTTGATTTCTTTAAAAATTACATTAAAAAAAAAGTTGTACTTTACTAGCTATTAACCATGATAATTCGCAATCATTACAAATTGTTACTTTTAAAACTTGTTGAATCGTAATAAAATAAATTTTATTTTTTTTATTATCTTTTTTTTTTAAGAGTGAATTTCAACCTAAGTACAGTGAGAAAACAGTATTCAGCGATGAAGGCAACTCAGAGGTAATTGAATTTATAAGTTATTAAAATGGGTTTTTTTATCAATATGCTCTTGAAAATATTTTCTTGTTATATACTTATTATTCAATTGATTTTGAAAATAAATTTGTAAAATTGGGAGTTAAGAATATTCTTATAATAAAGCTATGAAGTAGGTGTGAGCAATGTGATTTTGCAGCTTGGTTAAAAGGGCACAGAACATCATTAAAATTAGATATAGCAATAAATATATAAAAAATAGATATATCAATAATAAGGTATTTATGATATTATGAATAATTAGGTATTTAGTTGTGTTCATGCTATTACAAGTATATGAATAATTAGGTATTTAGTTGTTTTCATGCTATTATAATCTACTATTATAAGATATTACTGAGCAAAAATAAAAAATATATCAAATTATAATGTGCATTTCGGTTAACTAGATAATTAAGCAAATGCTATTAGTTAATAACAACATTGTTGTTAACTAATGCTATTAGTTTATAACAATAATAATAATAATAATAACACAAATAATAATAACAACAACGATGTTGTTGTTATTATTATTATTATTATTGTTATTATTGTTGTTATTATTATTAATTAGCTATTGAAGACCTTACTAGCAAGCAAAAATCCTGATGATTTACAATCAGCAAACAAATTGATCAAATCATTAGTAAAAGAAGTAAGTAGTTTTTTTTCTTATAAAATTAAGAGTCATTTTAATCACTTTACAATAAATTACAATAAATAAAACTATTTTAAAGATATTTGTTTTTTGAGAAAATACATTTTTTTGACAAATGTCAAGATTGCAGAAATTGCTTACTGGTTTTTAAGTAACAACTCAGCTAAAAAAGCTTTTCAACATAAGCTATTTTTAAATAACAACTCAGCTAAAAAAAGTTTTCAACTTTTTTTACATATCTTCTGATTTTTGTGAACAAAGTTTATAGAAAATTGTTTGTAAAAGCAAGTTATAACAGTGTTGTTACTCCAATAAGTTTAAAAATATTAATTTTTTAGTTAAGTTTTAAGTAAATTTAGAATAAATTCTTTTAGGGTGATTTCACTAAGTTTACCGCTTGTAGGAAGATTTTATTAAGTTTACTGCTTTTAGGGTGATTTCATTAAGTTTACTGCTTGTAGGAAGAAGCGCGTCTTGAACGAGTTTCTAAAAGAATTCATGATTTGGAACTTGTTTCTAACAATGTAAAATTACTCGATGATATGTTATCCCATTATAATCTTGCTACTCCACAGCCTGAGCTTGATCTTATTAAGGTAAAAAAAAAACCTTTTCTAGGTTATTTTAAACACTTTACTGCCTTTTTTAAAAGTTTGTTTGAGAATTTTTTATTTATTGTTTGAAATTTTGTTAAAGTTTTTATTTTTTATTGGAAAAACTTTTTTTCATTTTTTCATTTCATTTCCACTTAGTAAATTATTGTCTGTATTTTTTAGGAGTTGTATGAAAGTTGCTTGCAAATGCGTCCTGAATTATTTAGACTAGCAAGTAACAGTGTAATAGATAAAGATGATTCCATGGGTACTTTTATTATTAAATGTTTGTTATGTGTAAAATTAAGTTAAAACATCTGTTTATATTATATAAATTTATCCTTATAAAATTCTTAAAAAACAAACAAATAATAAAACTTTAATGTAATGTGTTCCTGCATCAAATAAAAAAAATTAGGTTTCCAAAATGAGGATGTGATGTAATCACCATCATCTTCATTCATGCCACCTTCATTTTGAGAACGCTGGTGGTATTTCCATAGATTCTCTAACTTTTCTTTCAGCATTCCAGAAATTGCCATGGTGCTTTTTGGTTGGAATGAAAACAACACAGTTAAAGTAGAGGCAGACTATTTAAAGGGAAAAAATTGAGAGAATCTTTGGAAATACAATATCACCAGTGTTCTCCAAATAAAGGTGGTTTGAGTGAAGATGGCAGTGATATTGTCACATCGTCATTTTGGAAACTTTATTTTTCTTACTTAAGATGCAAAAACACACTGCATTAAAGTTTTATTGTTTATTGTATGCATTATGGTTTACAATTAAGACTAGATTTAAGTTGATATATTGACTGTATGGGTTTATTAGTATAGTTTGAAAATATTATAAAATAACAAAAATGAAAGTTACATCAAAATATCCACACGCAACAATTTTTTGATTAGAACTTTTATTATTTTACAAGTTTTATTTTTTGATTTTTTTATAAGTTATTGATTTTAGCTGAAATTCTTAGTGCCAGTGATGAATTAACTAGAGTAATTGATGCTTACAAAGAAAAAGTTTTGCTTCAAACTGTTGAAAGTAGACTCACAAAACCTTACAATATTCCTACAGGTAAAATATTGTTTTAGTTTCTAATTTATAATATACAGTTTAGCCAAAGCACTATTCTGAGTTCACACAATACTATCACTATGATAGTTAGTTTTCAGTCATGTCAATGTCATTATCATAGAAACTCTCTACCCCAGGATCTTATTATAAAATTAAACTGTTTTTACCTGTTTTCGCAGATTTGAAAAATGTAAAAAATCTTGATTAGTTAGATGCTTAGTTTTTCTTTCAAAAGTTTAATTGTTGCAATAGTTTAAAATGGCATCAAGCAAATATTTTTTTTGAAAAAAAATGTTCATTTTAGTCCTATGGCCCATCAGGTTGTGTAATATACTTTAAGCTCTAAAGTTCCTCTTATACTTTGTTGTATTTATCAGGAAAGGCCTTTAAGGAAAAATGAAGGCAACTTCTCAAGAATCAGGAAAAATGAAGGCAACTTCTCTGGGAAAAAGAAAAATCTGATATACATTTAAAACAGTTGATCTGCAAGTATATCTGATAATACAGCCAAAATAATTTGTAAGGTAACACACCTTAATGGAGAACTTAAGGGTAAAGAGTACATATCAAGAAAAATTGCTCACAAACTCACGTTGAATTTTTTTTGAGAGTTTATTTATATAAAACACATGTTTTTATATATATATATATATATATATACACATGCAGCCCTCGGAATTCGGATCGACATTCACCAATGCCAACCTGTCAACCTTAAAGTGTTTGAGGTTTGCAAAAAATTGCCAACCTCATTTCTGTCTTATAGTAAAACCTTTGTATCGTTTTTTTTTTTGCCGACCCCTAAAAGATTGAGGTTGGCAAATAATCGAGGGTTGCATGTATATATATATATATATATATATATATATATATATATATATATATATATATATATATATATATATATATATATATATATATATATATATACAGGCCTTGCGATGAATAAGAGCTGCGCGACGCATAAGCACGACGTGATTTTTGACGTCATTAAATTCTTTTTATTTGCTTTTCATATTTATCGACATTAACTGCACCAATTTATTTAATTACCGCAAAACTACTTTAAATCGTTTATGTAGAAATGTTATTATTTAAAAATGTCTTGGAATGTTTCGTTTTTTAAA